AGAATGGGCCAGAATCACTCCTGAGCAATGCAGACGACTGGTCTATCCATACAGGAGGCGTCTAGAAGCTGTAATCACCAACAAAGGCTTTTCTACAAAGTATTAAATAAAGTGTGTTCAATACTTATTCCCTGTGTCATTGCACTTTATTTAATATGATTCAACTTGTGTACTTAAATGTTGTGATTTGTTTGTATGACTTCAATATTTGGCTTGATGGCAACATCTGGTGGAAATGTTGTGTCAATAGTCCACTTAGAAATCCCCTTACTGATAAAAATGCTGATGTGTCAAATACTTATTTTCCCCGCTGTATATGGTTGCCCCATGCTAATTAGTGGGTGTAACTAAACATGTATTCACTCTGAACATTTGGTATGTGTCACATTGAGTATGATAAGAATATTCCTTCTTTACATTTGCTTTGTCAAGTCAACTCAACAGGCTTTAATGTCATTCTAACCATGTGCAGTGGTACAGTACACAGTGAAACAAGACAACGTTCCTCCAAGAGCATGGTGCTACATGTAACTTATAACAGGCAATCAACACAGGACTACATAAAGTGCAAGTGTGCAAAAACTGCAAAATAGTGCAGACACAACAGTGCAATAGAAATGTGCAAAAGACTGATGTCCTAGCTTTTAGGTTTGAAGAACTACAACCTGGAGGTGCCTTACACTGGCCTACTTACTATTGCCAAAAGGGTAACAAAGATGATTTTTGAGTAGGGTAGACTTAAGGACTGGTCCACTGCCATAAAACAAAATCAAATGCACACAAAATGGTAAATGGGCTGGTTCTTATTTAGCATTTTTCTACTCTACTGGAGCACTCAAAGTAGTAAGTAGAGAGGGTCCCATAGTGGGGCCCACTGTAGGCCTGAAGCATAGCAACAGTATGTCTGTATTGTAATTCTGGGCTACCCTACTGTGGTCCCACCCAGGAGAGGGTCCACTACATTACTGCCACCAACTGGAAGCACCTCATAGATGATTTTTATTATTCATACAATGTGCCTCATTGACCGCATTCTATGAAGGACTAACTATACCACAGTGGCAAATACTTTTTTTAATTTATTAACAGTGCTTCAATGGATTTATTGTTTTGCTTTTGTGGTTTCAATTTATATTTTATTTCTTTTTATGCTGACATCATACATACAACTTCAGAAAAACATGCCACTGTAAATGTGTGAAAATAGAGTTCATTACATAGAAATAATTTTTATGTGATTTAGTGTGAAATTTGCTAATGGTAAAAAAATTAATAAATACTGTGATACAAATTTATGGCCATGGTTTATGGTTTGGTGTGCCTCTATATGCAGCTACAGCATCCAACTGCTGCTAGGCCCCACAGGTGTCACAACCTTTAATACTGAGCCAGTTCCTTTTAACAATAGCTGCTGCTGTTTGGTTGTGTTTGGTAAACCTCCTACCACTGGGTGGTGTAGTGGTGCTGTGAATTAGACATGGTGTGCTGATTTTGCGTATGTTAAATAACACTGAAAACTCCCTTTGTTTATGGGAAAAAAGAATCACCTTACTCACTGGAGTTTGTCATTTTGTACCTTTGTTTCCATCCATTCTTCTTTTTCCACCAACTTATCTGGGCCAGATCGCAGAGGCAGCAGCCTGAGCTTAGTGTTTCACATTTTCATCCAAAGCAACAATAAGACAAAGTTTTAAAGAATGAATTCACATGTGTCACTGGTACAATTGCCAAAACAATTTTATTTCTTGCCAATAAAAGTCTTTTGAATGTCATGATTGTTGGATGTCGTGATTGTTCTTCACATCATAGAAATCTTTCTTTTTAAGTCTTTAAAAGTCTAAATGAAAACTGAAGTGACAGTGTATGAAAAATAAATGCTACATTTTTTTGTACTAAATAATGGTCACAGGTTGATCATAGAAGTCACACAGTCTGTGCGTTCTGTGATCTTAAAAGCACAATCCTGATTTAAGAGAACATAGCATTTTCACATTATGGTCTAAACACATGGACCCAGAACACCTGTCATTTTCACAGATTCCTTACAAGTTTACATCCACAAATTCAAGTGTACCGTTTCCCATTGTTTTCATCTAACCATTAGCAGTTAAAAACATTCCATTTATTAAGTTTATAGTCCAGCACCTAACAAAATGGCACAAACTGTTCAACATGTTTTCACTGAGATGCACATTTACAAGTGACAGTAAAAGAATGAAAACAGAAAGAAAGGCAGTTGAAATCACATTCATCTTACGGTAAATACTGGGACAGCAAATGTCTGTAAAAAAATGAAATAAAATAAAATATTATATATATAAATATCCATCCTAGAAAATCTTCATATATACCATCAAAAAATTATTGCACCTTTTTTCTCCTCTGTGCAATGATAGAATACTAATGGAATACTTTGTGATATGTACTAAAATTCCATCAGTATAACATTATGTGCTTATTAGATATAGCTATAGCTCTTATGCTGCTGGCCCACTGAAGGTTAGATTTAGTAAACTCTTGTTACTGATGTATTTTTGTGTGTACCAAATGTAACGGTTTCATTACACCTGATTTAAAGTGCACCACACATTCATAGATTCAGTTTCCTAGGCTAAAGTCACAGACTTCAGCTGTCCCAAAAATAGTAACTGGAAATCTAATCCCTTACACCCTGTGAACTACATTCATTCAAGTACTTTAATACAGAACAGTTTTAATGTCGAGTAAATCCTGGTAATGCCCCTGGAGGAGATGTCTCGACATATAAACTCACTTGGCAATTATGCATCTAAAGGAGGTTTGGTCCAAAAATGAAAAACACACATACATACTCTTGACCCTTATATGGGTATATATATATATAACACAGCACCAAACCTGTTAAGTTAATAAACCACTGCCAGTGTTGGGAAGGTTACTTTTAAAATGTATTCCATTACAGATTACAGAATACATGCCCCAAAATGTATTTTGTAACGTATTCCGTTACGTTACTCAATGACAGTAACGTATTCTGAATACTTTGGATTACTTAATATATTATCATGCTTTTTACAACAACGTGAATGTACTATTGCTGTGTGATTTATTACTATTATTGAAGGATACTCGCCATACTAATAGCAACTAGATTTTAAATCTTTATATAAAATGAGTAACAGTAGGGTGGACATTAGGTAAGGCTGCACTTTTTGCAGCGATCTTATACAGAAAATTATTCCGTGCGTATATAAAACAGGTCCACGGCTCCGAACCGTAGTAAAGGGACCTCTGGCTAATACGTCGGGTTCCGTGTCGGCTCGTAGCCGAAAAATAGCTTTACTTTGTTGTGTGGGTCAACTTTTCTTGCGAGAGACAGAGAGAGGCGTTGAAAGACTGCTCCAACGGAACTTGTTGTTTCGGAGGAAAACACGAACACAATCGAGTCTTAATAGCTTACTTACAACTGGGCTCGTCAGGCACTCTTCTTGGCTGAAGTGGTTATTATTATATTTACATGCTTCCACTCCCGTTTCTGCTCGATGACAACTCGTACCTTTCCACTCTCTCGACGCTCACAGACACATAACAGGTATGGGAGTCCATTCTCTCTGCAACACGGACTACACTGCCCATCAGACTACATTCTTTAGGGATATGGCTGTAACAGTCTGCTAATATTGCCTTCATACTAAATAATTTAAAAAAATTTTCTTCACGTCATTATGCAGGCCGCAAGTAGAGGCGATATGGGCCGTGAGATTGAGGCACAAGCACGAGAGCTTCTTAATGTGTGTTTTGTTTGGGTTTCCACCAGCGTGGAATTACCAAAAAGAGGGCATAGCCTAATACATAAAACAGGAAAGGACCACCGTGTAATCCATTTATTTCACGGAGTAACTGTGTTCTGAATACCACCTTTTTAAATGGTAACTGTAACGGAATACAGTTACTCATATTTTGTATTTTAAATACATAACGGCGGTACATGTATTCTGTTACTCCCCAACACTGACCATGGAACAATTTGGGTTGGTTTGACTATGGGTCGACAGTACTGAGGCCATATATAAAGCTCTGGCACGCTACATAGGAATGTAGTTTTAGGATGGTTATACATAAAATGTAAACTTGCTTCTTAATTAATATTTTAGTCAGTTCAAAGAACACTCACTATTAGATTCATAGATTGATATAATAGAGGGTACATTAGGCTGAACATGTTCTGTCTGTGCATAAAGTTTAAAATGTAGATCAAGTTTTTGTAAAACAGTAAATTTCAATAATTGTATTTTAGTGTTAAAAATTTTTGATCACATTTACCAGCGGGAACTAAAAAGAAAAAAAAAAATTTCCTCATAGGATATCAAGTTTTGTTTTTGCATTCTGCAAGAACGCAGGTTTTAAGGCACTTCAGTATTGGCTTCATTTTCACAGCCAGGAAGCTATGTCCGTGTATATAATGCTACAGACCCTTCAGTAATACTATAACAGCTTTAAGGCCTTTGGTCAAGCTGGACTTTAAGGCTTTCTTTTAGTATTATAAATATTGATATTAAAACATCTGTCATTTCATTCCTTTTTATATGTATTACTTCATAGCGCTGGTGTAGGATGTCTGGCCATTGGGTTAGGTCAATAGAAAAATATTGTAAAACAGATTAAAATACAGTCCACAATTTCTGCCCTGCTTCACATTTTCTAAAGTTGTTTCACTTTCCCAGGCCTTATGTTTGACATCCCTGCTCAAGTATAATCTAGACTTTACACAACTAGGTGGTTCATCAGTGCCTCTGTGGTGTCTTTATCGATACACAGGCAGGCACACACACCTATGTGAAGCCCGCCCCCCTGGGCCAACATGGTGAGTGAGCACATCATGTAGCAGAGCTCAGGATAGACTGGTGTCTG